TCATATCGATTGAATTTTTGGTAAATTTTGAATCTGAACGATAAAAAGAGTTTATCGTTATTGAATTTGATGAAAAATTCGGTATTTTGAAGAAAATCTCCAATAAAAGTTACTGGAGTAAAATTAAATCTAAGTGTTAAATTTCTTTTTTCGAAATCTTTTGTTAGCGACATAATGTCTAGCTTTAATTGATTTAATGATAACATCTCTCCTAATGTTGTGAATTCCCCTTTAGTTAGTTTTTGAATCTCTTCAAGTAGTTTAGTAACGTGAGCATGTGCTCTTCTAAAAATATTACAGCGATCTGCTTGTTTAGCTTTCCTGAAATCTTCTATATCCGTTCGTAATAGATTAATAATGAATGGATCATTCAATAAACTATCTTGTGTAAAATCTTTTCCCTCGTATAACTTCCTTAAGGTATCAATCATATCTAAGTGCGTAGAAAACGTTTTTAGGTTCCTATCATTGCTGGTACAAAATTCTTTTACATTTCCTTCGATTCCTTTTAATCTATCCAGGAGTGAGATGTCAGTTGCATATGTTATTGTAAAATATCCCTCAAAAATATTTATTTCTCCTTCCGGTTGTAAAATGACAGCGCTTATGGCGTTATCATCTTCCAATATAAATGAAAATGAATAGGTGATAAATGTTGTGAGGACGAACAGGTGAGAAATGGATAGCATATCTGTAATTTAAGAACGTGAACGGCAAATTAGTCTAAAAAAACAAGCTTTAATGAACACAAATGTAAAATAAAAAATTAAAAATGGCATAATTATATATTTTAAAGCACCTATCATAAGGTTAGTTGCTAATCCTCCAAACACATTACTAAATGTATCTGAAATTGTTGTAATACGTGAAGAAATAGCTGACAAAAATCCACCAGAGAAGACGGAATTAGTTTTCATTCTATTCAATAGTCCATCTGTTTGGTTTAAATAATATTTTGTCTCGTTTAAATATTTCTGAAGAGGTTTCACGTTAGAAATTAGTCCAATAAATTTCAAATCGTCCTTTTCGAGCATGTCAATATCTGTAACCCATTCTTTTGTTGATGCATTATATGCCTTTATCTTGAAGTGAGAAAAGGGTTTTTGTATTTCAAATGTTAACAACGTTGAATTATTTGGTCCGGAATCAGAATATTTCAAAATTTCACATTCTTCTGGGAAAGACACCAAATCACTTTTTTTCAATTCAAGGATACTCTCCTGTCCAACGCAAAACAATTTGAGTAATAGTGGTTCTATAATGTGTAAGTAGATTGACGTAGGTGAAATTTTTATAAAGTAATTTTTATGTGCGATCTTTTTATACGCGCAAAATTCGTCACTATTTTCTAACAAAAGCGACTTCATACAGTGGTTTGGATTTTCCAACGCGCTTTCAAGAAGAGAGTTACAAATAATTATATCCGAATATGATACGCATTCCTCGAGTACTTCTTGTGGAATCGTAGGTAATTTGACATCTTCGTTAAAAACAAAGTATTCAACATTAGAGTCGATCAATAAAGTTTCATTATCACGTATCATAGGAACAGGGATAAACTCATTAAGAAATGAACCCGTGAGCATAAAAACGACTTATCAAACAATCGCCGAACAAAACGATACAAGAAAAAACTACCAAACAAAACACACGTTTAAAAACGTAACACAGCAGGACGGTACCGTTCAAAACAAAACTCCGCTGTGCTACACATTACCGCTGTGGTACGTTTTGTTCGGTAGTTTTTTCTTGTATCGTTTTGTTCGGCGATTGTTTAATAAGTCGTTTTTATGCTCACGGGTTCAAATAGATTGTCTCTTTTAAGAATTGGTATTTTGATCACTATTGTGATGTGTGTTGTGTTTTGATGCAATTTGGTTTCGACTATATTCAACAATTCTAATGATTTTAACGGTGGTAACATGTAGCCAATATTCAAAGTACTGTTAACAAGATACATTTGATCTTCTAAATCTGATTTGTCGATCAACAAAAGTATTTGCTCCTGAATGGGATTATTCCAGAAATTTTGTAATTTTTGCATATTGTGTCTATGATCTTCTAATATACTTGATGTTAACAGCAATAGGTCATAATAACTTGTCACCAGAGATGACTGAAGCGCACCGAGTGACCGAGCAACGGCCGCACGGACACTGAGTTTGCGTGCTTAAAACATGCTCAGTGCGATATTGCGCTGCAGCACAAACAAACCCACTCCATGAAGAGAGTATAAGCGCACCAACGGAGTGCGCTACACCGCACTCGTACACAACGAAGAAACAATAGAGAGAATATACAAAGAAAGAAACACAAAGAAAAGAATAAGACAATACACACTCAACTCTTTATATGTGTGTATAAACCATAATAGGCAACAGAGTTAGAGTGCGCACACATTTCTTAACAACAAAGTCAGAGTGCGCACATAAACTCATAACGAAGTGAGTGTAAACGCACAGAGCAGAAAACGACTCTCAGTTGAGTTGCTGAATACGCTACTGAGCGTGCGCTTAGTCATCTCTGAAAAAACCCACTTTTATTCACTTGAAATTTGTTATTTTTAGATTTTGCAGTGGAAGAAAAAAAAACTCAACAAGCTAAAAACAAAATTGGATCAAAAAGTTTAAGTAGAGAAATACAGGTTCTTGTCCAAAATGACGTTATATTTTACAAAATCTGAAAATTGAAAAGGAAAATGCGCTGAGTTTGAGAAAAGCTCACACAAAATTCCAAAAGTGACTCTATGAGCACCGTGAAGGCTTTATGTTACAATTTATGCATTTTAGAAAGAACAAGTGAATGAATTGGTGTATTTAACCTAGTTTATAATTTGGCAAATCACAGTTTGCCAAAATCTGGGCTTTACAATAAAAATTACCAAGAAAAATACTAAAAATACTAAATAATAAAATAAATCAAATCACTTATAAAATAAAATCGTGTTGAAATGCTAAATACATTTAAAAACTGTGACTGTTTTCCCACTTTTGATTGGTTTCTTCCGAAAAGTGTTCTTCCCACTGTGATATCTCAATCGAATCGATGTTCATTGATCGGGTTTTTTTAGTCGATTGATTCAATTTTTTCAAGTTGTGTACATGTAGAAATGTGCTTGATCGAATTTCCGATAAATCGTTCAGCGATAAATTCAGTGAATAAACTTCACGAAGGCTTTCAAATGTCCTTTTCTTGAATTCTGTAACAACATCTCTCGACGAGACTAGTTCGTTTGATTCGTGTAAACACTCAAATGAATTTGCTTCTATAATTGTGATTTCATTATTCGAAATGCTCAAGTAATTGGATTTACGTTGGTATCGCTTATGACGTTCATTCAATGCCGTCACTTCAACTCCATAATCATTATACGAACAATCGAGATATTTCAAATCGTAAAAAGAAAGCGACATTTTATCGTCAATTTTTGTTACGTTGTGCAATGAACTTTCCAATTCAAAGCGATTCGCCCTTTCCAGACGGTATTCAATTAGTGATGTCAATTTGAAACCTCCCGTGTTTTGATGCGTACGTGAGAAACTGTGACTTTCTATATTTTCGAGAAATTCTTCCGAAGTTCGTGGCCATTCATAATTTTGGAAATCTACTACAACAGATCTATTCCCCACTTCCGTACGCAGATTGTCCATGTGTTGTTGTTAGGCTCCTTTCCACAAATCAGCACCAGATGTTTTCCCAAATTCAATTTTTTTTTTTCTATTTATAAAAAGGTGTCCACCAAATTTCACTTTTCAATGTTCTACAAGAATTAATTATTGATAGATTGCACTATGATCGCACACAGAAATTTCAGAGCAAACCAGAACCAAATTGCAATTTGAAAGTAGGAAGAAACAAACTTTTTGAAGCCCAGTTTGAAACTGTTTTTATTCAAAGCATTCTTCCGTATTTAAATCAATAAACATAAAAAAAACCATGGAAGTGAATCATTCGATCATATAATTTCCGTCTTTCGATGCCCTATAAGGCATCCATACGGTAGTCACCAGAATGAAACATGAACATATTTGGAACCATTTTAATGCACAAACTTAAAAGTCTTAGTCATAAAATAATGTCCAAAAGTTTCATTAAGCATTCACATTTTGGAAACGTTCCCACCGAAAAAGAAAAATACTCAAGCATTATCAAAACGACGACGACGACGTCATTGTTTGTATAAAAACAAAAACAAATAGGGTATCTCTCTATGGTCAACATAAAAAAAATATGAAGAGAGGCAAAAAGCGCAAAGAGAGAGAGAGAGAGCATTTGAAAAGCTTCAAAGCAATTACTAGGCAGAACATTGGACGATAAAACATATCTGGAACATGGATGATATGACCTGCATACGTTTTCGGCTGTAGAATTATCCCATGAGATTCGTATACTTGAACAGATGGCGAGAATGACGTTATCACAAGAAGTATTTACAATCTCTTATCAACATTATGAAACTGACGAATTTCTCTTTTTTTTTTTTTTTTTTTTTCATCAAATTACACCGAATGACTGCATCACACATACAAACGTGGTGGGGAGCTTTGTGTAATAACGATGTGAACCAAATTCATTCATTTTGTTTTTTGTGAATAAAGCTTAGTTTACAGTTCGCCATGCGAAAAAAAAATTAAAAATTCAAAATTATTTTTTGCCTCAACTATGCGTCATAACGCAGTGGTTACTGGAGCAATTATTTGCGTCTTGGGGTAACCAACGCATATAATACATAGCTCGCTCTAATCAAAGTAACTGAGGCGCTAGAAATGTAATTCAATTTTTTTGGCATGCGAAAATTTTTTGCATGCGAAATTTGTTTTGAGGTGAATATAATTTTTTTTTGCATGTCTAAACCGACTATGCGGAAAAAAAAATTGGTATTCACCACGATTTTTTTTCGCATGCAAAACACTTGCCGGGCCATTGTTTTGCATGCAAAAAAAAAATGTTTTGATGATTCGATGTAAACATCATAGCTGTTCGCGCAAGCGACATACTGTGTTGTGTGTGTACATGTATCAACATAACAGTGAGTCATTCGTGAAGTGGCTTTCGATTCGTACAGATGTAAGTTCAAAACAAACTCAAGTTGAATGAGCATTTTCGGTTTGGAAGCGTTGTCAATGGAGGAGGAATATTTGGAAGACGACTTTGAAGACGATTTTGACGACGAAATGGCCGACGAAACATTTACGGTCACCGCGGAAGAAATGAAAAAGATCGAACGACAAGAAGAGCTTGACAATGAGCAAATGGAAACCGAAACGGTGATCGAGAAAAAGCGAAAGAAAGTTGTGAAATCTGGTGCAAGTGATTCTGGTACGAAAAAGGATCGCGAATTCGACGACAAGAAAAAACTCGCTGAAGAAATATCGAAACACCCTCACATTTTTGATATAATCGATCCATCATTTTGTGACAAACAGAAACAGCACGCCACGTGGAACCAAATCGCAGTTGCGGTTAACTTGCCAGTGGACAAATGTATTTCTCATTGGAACAGCCTAAAACGTTCAGCAAAATATTACGCTAATGATACTAAAATTGCGTACAAATCTGGTGCAAGTGCCGTGGAAATGTCAAGCCAGACATACCGAGCCGAATGGCCATTTCGTAACGTGATGTCATTCTACACGCCACCATCATTGCGAGAGGGCTGCGGAAATATTGTGTTATCCAACATCCAAGTGAAACCTCCATCAACAAAAACCGATAATACAGCTCCCGATTCACCAATGACGGCGTCTGATGCTGTTGACACAGTTTTTTTCGGTGATGATCGCTGCTACGTACGTATTTAACATTATTATTCGGTTCAAATCATTTTCGGAAAATAAAAAATACGTGAATATGATTATTTTTTTCTAAATTAATGTTACAGGATCAAACACCAACAACAAAAGGAAAAAAGAGGGACCAGCTCGCTGAAAGTGTATCGATGATGGCAAATACGTTCTCTTCGTACTTCCAATACAAAGCGGTGCCAGAACAGCAACCAATGGAATCTCCTGTGAAGCCGACACTAAAATACCAGGAAATGTGGTCGAACTTCGACAAATTGGTGTCAAAACTGGATGAAGACACAGTTGACGACCTCAATATTCAAATCACCAATCTAATTGGTGCCGCGTTAAAAAAGAAACGCCAAGGTTAACAATTTTCATTTGCATTTCAATTTCAATTCATTCGATGCTGTTTGACAATTAACTGAATTTCTATGCGGTTTTTTATCGCTCATAATAAGATAAATACTCAAATCAAGTCAGCTCGAAACTTTGTATTCACAGAAACATTTCAAAGTGTTTATAAATAAAAATGCATATACGAAAATCGGTAGGTTTGTTATTTTCAATTTGGAAGCAGACGAATCACAAAGTCACATTGAAGTGTTTATGATATAAATGTAAACATGAAATACTCAGAATCGAAACCGTTCTAAATGTTGATATAGTTTTTTATATGGTAGCAAAAGTCATTGGATAAACTCAAAGCAAAAAGGCAAGTATTTGAATGTAAGCATAAATATTCCGAGAATTGATATCGTTTGAGGTATTCCCACAACACAAAGAAAAAAATCGATTTACATTCTTTCAATTGAAATGAAAACCAATACAATCAAAGCACTTTGAATTTAGCAATGCTGAATGCAGAAAGATCACAATTACATGAAACAAAAAAGGACCTTTTTTCGAAGAAGCTCTGTTTCTGAGTACGAAACAGACAACAAACATCATTATTTTCGATTTTCATATACTTGAAATTAAACTAGCCGAATATAAGATGAATATTTCTTTTGTTTTTGTTCGGTTTTATTGAAATTTGCAATGATAACATTTCAAAAAATAAGGAAATTTGAAAGTGATTCTCTGTATTCTGTGGGTCATTGAGCAAGAAATGATAAAGTAAAATATGATTTATTAGGATGAAAATTGATTATTGAATTCAATGAAAAGGGAATATTTTAAAAAAAATCATGTTTTAGTTTGGTTCTTGATGCGTGGCTCTTGCTTGCCAACTAACGCTACCATAGCCGGAATTCACGAAGTTCTTCAATGTATTTCGGCATCGTTTAGCGTCTTCATGCGGACGGCCGCTGAATGTGCTTTCCAAATTTGATAAAATTGTATCCGGATTATTGCTTCTCCACACACCTTCAACGTATTCTCCGTTTTCATCGATCAAGTCACGATATTTTTCTGGAATATACGATTCAGGAGTTTGGCTTATCATGAAATTGTGTAATAAGCAGCAAGCGGCAACAATTTTCCTAGCATTTTCTGGTTTGCAATGAAAGGTCTTTCCCACACAAGCCCATTTTGTCACCAGAATTCCAAACGCATTCTCTACGCAACGTCTTGCGCGTGAGATGCGATAATTGCAGACAACTTCTTCGTTCGTCAGTGGTTCCTTTTTAGTTAATTGTAGGGCTTTATTAATCTTTTCAATAACGGGAAAGCATCATCACCAATGAAAAAATACGGTAACTTCTCGCCACCAACAAATGCATCGGGAGGTAAATTAAGTAGTGGATCATCTGTCTTTATCATGCGTCCAAGCTCACTACGAGAAAATACGTTTGCATCTCCTTCTGAACCTCTTGCTCCAACATCAATTGAAATGAATCGGTAGTTGGCATCGACAAGGGCCATCAATATTATGCTGTGGTATCTTTTGTAATTAAAGTATTCAGAACCGCTACCTGGTGGCTTCTTGATAGCGACATGCTTGCCATCGAAGGCCTCAAGACAATTGGGTAGTTGCCATTTATAATTGTATTCATTTGCCATTTTCAACCAGTTTTCTTGGTTCATTTCAATCATTTCGGTTTTCAAAGCTGTTATAATAGCGGTTGACACTTGCTGTATTATGAGGCAACAAGTTGTTTTTGATAATCGATACACACTGGCAAGATGCCTTTGGAAGGAACCAGATGCATAATACCTGTCAAATTCAATGAATCCTTATTTAATTACTTCATTCACAAGGAAAGAAATAAAAAACGTACTCTAAAGCGATAGCCAAACGTTGTTTTGGTGATATACTATCGGCGACACGAGTTTGTCTTTTTGGCAGAAGATATTGTTCGACTTTGGATAATAGTAATTCAAATGTTTGGTGGTCCATGTGGAAATTTTCTTCAAATGCTCGAGGAAAATCAACCATATCCTGAAACTATTATCATTATTAAGCATTTGCATACTTTCTTTAAATGATTCATAAAAACTCACTGCAGTGAAAAATCGACCAGTTTGTTGTCGTGTAGACAAATACGGATTCACCCAAAACTGCCGTACCACTGTTCGCCGTTGTAAAACTACTAAGGACAGAAGCAACGTTATCCCCATCATTGCAACTACTAAATCATCGTCACTATCCATTTTCGTTTTATCAAAATAATCAATTTACGTTGAGGAGCAACTAAATTTTATCTTTTCTCAACTTGATTGTCATTTACAATGCGGAGAAATGTCAAATTTGTTTTGCTCAAGAGGATTGTGAACAGACAGTTTTTCGCATGTATAAACCAACCATGCAAATAAATTGAAAATAAATTTTTTGCATGTCTAAACCGACCATGCAAAAAAAAAATTTGCATTCACCCCAAAACAAATTTGCATGCAAAAATTTTTGCGCGAGAATTTTTTTCGCATGGCGAACTGTAAACTAAGCTTAATTCAACAAAATGTGCAACAACAAGTCAATTCCAATCGGAATCATCGCAACAACTATAACAACAGACATGTCCATGAAACATATCAAAACAATCGCATTGATC